TCTACATTTAAAATTTATCAGAAGTCCTATTTTAGGTGATTAGTAAGAAATATTACTCCATCAGAGTCAACTCAGAGGTAATAAATGCAAACAAGGTTCTATTCTAAATGGAAAAATTCTCGGAAAACAGGTAGACCTGGTTATCTCACCTTTGCCACCCTTTCAACRTGTKATTTWGATTCCACAACTCACAGCTGCTCATTATGGAAGATGATTTTAATTCATTGACTCAATCAACTTTTAATATTGTAACAAAAGATTTCATCAAACATTTTAGGATGACAAAGAAATGTCAAACCCTCACCACAAACACATCATTAAWAAACAGAATGGGAACCATCTCATGAACTCTAGTGAAGTAGCTCATGTTAAATTATCAATTTATTTGTTTTATGTTTCTTTACAGACTTATAATAAGGCAAGAGTAACATTCTATTAATATTCAAAGAAGTCATTGGAAAAACTTTCTTTTAGTATGTACTTGTATCACTTGGCTCAAAATACAAACATGTATCTAAATTAATTGCTGAAGCTAGCAATAATTTGTCACAGATGTCAACAGGTTAGAGAATTGAAGTTACCCACAAAGAAGTACAAGAATCAATTAGAAACACTGCAAGGGATATGCCACAAGAAATCACTACACAAATCTAGAAATACCATATATCTGACTATTAAATACATGTGCTTCAAACAGATAGAAAGTACTAGTCGTGTGTAAGTATTACCTATACATTAATTAACCTAATTACAAGACTTGACCAGTATGAAGCCAGCAGCCTTCCTGTAGGATACTGCAGGATTGCTAATGGTTACTATGTGAATAATAAATACAGATCTAGGCCTAAATATTTCAGGGCACTTCAAATTTGAGCATTGTCCTCTTAAAAAAAATCTCTTTGACAGATTTCCACATTATTCATTCATATTCAAAAATTAAAATGTGCAGGTGTATAAAATGACAGCTTCACTTTATGAGAAACACATACAGTTCAACTCCACAACACATAATGGATAAATTTTACAAAATGTGAGTTTATATAATCTGAAAAGTACTTTTCATAAAATTGTTAAGCTTTAAAAAGTGTGATAATATTATATATTTGTCTATCCAAAATGTCAACAAACTGGACAAACGCATTAGCATGCTCCCAAACAAACATGGCATGTTTTCGTCCTCAAACAAAAGAAAATAATAAAGTACACTTCTAGAAATATAAAATAATACTTTCATTTTTATCCAAGTTATTTCTATTTAGTGCAGAGAAAAATTAGAAAGGTATTGTAAATCTTGACGATTTTTAAAACGTGAGAGCGAGTGTCGAAATCAATCTAGCGATACAAAATCCATTGAAAGTTGTTTGTTGACATGGGCCTCGAGGGAATACCTAAACGTGACAAAGTTTCAATTTGAAGATCGAAACTAGCCATTTCATATATTTTTTCTTAGGTAAAACTAATATCAAAACAATTTAGTGGTTAAGATGTAGCACTGTTTGTAAACACAATCTCGCTGTATGCAATAGCATATTTAAGTCCCTCCCATCGAGCAAGTGCTCTTATTTCAGCTCTTTCAGTTCGCTTGATTCAAGTCGCAAAATATTGAATCGCATCATATCGAATAACCTTCTATAAAAGTTTCCTTCCGAGCTCTACTTTAAATACTTCAGTGGGTAGCCAATAGATAAACCCCTAGACTCTATATACCTTGCAATATTTTCAAACACAATGAAAAATATTAACTTCGTTTAAAATTGTACAAATAACACGAGTGCATTTCCGTGTAAATGTTATACTGACCTGACGAATCTGATGAAGGATATTGAGGTTTTCCAAGATCCTCTAGTAGACTGTCCAGCTCGGAAAGATTCATAGCTAAGCTTGATGACTGTGTCGACGCTATTTCAGGTGGGGGAGGAGGAGGAAAATCATCTTTATGACTTGAAGACGGACCTACTGGCTCAAGTGCATCGAGAGAAGGTGGTGGTGGAAGCGGCGGTGGAGGTGAATCAGGAGATGATCTTCCATTAACAGGATGCGAAATATTTCGCGAATTATTCACAGCAGCCGTATTCGTCGCTTGAAGATCGGCCAGCAGAGCATCTAAAAATTGAATATTTAACTTGAGTTTTTCTTGAATAGTCAAGTTCTTCGTCTTCCCTGGCATCCCGGTGTCAGGCGAAAATCACGCAAAACCAAGCATTCAAAATCTTCTGGGCGAAACTGTTGTTTGGTGGATTTTTGTTGAGTGGTTTTTKAATGAATTCGAGAGCTTTTGGTTCGAGCTGTTTGTACTCATTTGCCTCCTTTTGATGACACATACAATAATATAAATAATTTACAACGTGTCGAATCCCATGTGAGCCCGCAGATGTAAATTTCGAGTTCGAAGTACTTCTGCAGGTAGTTCGAATCAGCGATTCTCTTAGCTTCATCAGTTTCGACACGATTTTACTTGTCACCCTTGGTTGGATAATAAGTAAAGGACGTCCAATGGTGCTTTCAATTTGACAAAAAATAGACGCATTTACATGTAATACAGCTTCAACAACTTTTAGGTAACATTTCGTAGAATACTCGTCAAAGATCGTCAAGTCAGATAACATCGAACTTAAAATCGCTGTCGATTGAAATAATTGTTTATCTTTTCAAAGCAAAAAGTCACATTCTAAATATTTTATTGATAGGCTTAGTAATGATTAATAGCGTTGTAAACCTGTTCTATGTCAAACTCAATGAAGAGAATCTTGATTTACTACGAGTGAGAACTTGCCTTAATAGTGATAAATATAATTTACATATTGTGGATGTGTTAGGGTTCAAAACAATCCGAATGCCATCACATAACAGCTTTCGTAAACATCAATCAAAAAAAAAAAGAGAGCTGAACTGCTCAAATAGTTTTGATAATGCGATTTTCGGACAATTATTTCAGCAGACTGAACATCCTCTGAGGACGTGTTGAGAAAGTTTGTGTGTAAGGCACTGCTCAAGCAAACACAAGATAAGAAATCAAAGTTTTCAGCGTACCTAAGTCCTCAATGCCATCCATTTGCAAACCGTCCCCTTGTAATACTTCTTCTTAACTACAGGAACACAAAACTGATAGTTGTGTGAATAGACCAAACCCAAAGACTACAACAGATACCAGGTCAAATGTGCAATACAACGATGGATTACAACCAGTTTCGTTCGTCGAAGCGTTAAATCTGCTAATCGGAAGTACTCGGGCGAGTTCGGCTGTCAAATAGCACTTCGTGACGTCTTCGGAAGCCATACGAAAGGATCGTTTGTTCGGAGACGTCAATCAGCCAACGATGTGGGATTCCGCAAATGCCGCGACTAAATATGGCGATTGTCTTAAAAGGGAGGGACCAGACACGTAACACTATGTAATGCAAATTACGAAATCTGAGTAGAGCTGAAAAGGTTGAAGGTTATCAGAAAAGAATGATTTTTTGTAAGTCGATCTGTGCGTGAGTTGTACGAAGCTATCCAAGTGATCTCCGCTATTGATGACATGCTAGAATTATKCGAAGACTTTACTACAGAGTTTTTTGTTTTAGTCTAATTGCCTTTTCCAATTTTCATTGGCAAAAACCACARTGTTTATGGCTTAACCTCAAAGGTCGAATTAATAAAATAAATGAGAAAATTAGTTTCGTTTGGTGAGATGTGGAGATAACGTAGATTTTTCTAGGGATGAACTGGATTTACTCTATAGGTTCAATAGTGCCATGAAAGATCCAATCGGGAACTGAATAGTTTTCGTGACTTAGAATGAGTTCTTTATTAGTGGGGAAATGGATTTTTGCCTTTCCTCCTGGCCTTTCTTAATTAGTCTGGAATGGAATTTTATGCAATGGGTTCGGGATTATAAAATAATACAATAAAAAAAAGAGAATAGGATCCAGATCTTAYGAGCTAAACCTAAGAGCTATGCGCATGCTCACACCAGATTGGCATCCACCTGCTCACTGAGCAAGTGACGAAGGGGGACTGGGACGATGATTAACTTAASCCTTTCTACATTATTCGCGTGATATGTACAATATCCATTCAAAATATTCTCTGCGTTGTCATGATTTTCTTCTCCTTAGACAAACTTTGGTCAACAGTGTGAAATCAGGAAACGATGCAGCATAGTGAAGTTAGGCTATTCCCGTAGGTGTTTTTCGTCTTTTAAGTCAGTCCGAAATGCTAAAAATACCTCCAATATTGCATTAGCCTCATACGTGGGCGTTCCACAAAGTGTTTATTAGAAAACAAAAGAATCCAGCCGGTTGTTTCATCTGTATGATGTACTCATACTAAAGTCCTATCTAAGTACAGGGTGTTCATACTAAAGTCCTATCTAAGTACAGGGTGTTCATACTAAATGTCCTATCTAAGTACAGGGTGTTCAGTGTTTCGAGAGTTTACAAAGCGTTACGCATGAAGTGTCAACCCTAAACAAAAATAATAAAATATATTCTTTCATTCAGTGAACCTTTTGTAATGCATTGCGTTATTTCTCATTATTGCTTGTGACTTGAAAATGACATTAAGCGCTTTGTCTTCCTTTACTAATAATCGTATTATCACTCTCTTAAAAAAAAAAACATGAAAAACGTGCTTGTAACAGTTCTAAACAAATTTGTCCTGGTCATTGGAGAGTCTCTGTTCAAGTCATATGAGATGGCTCGAGTCCTATAGCTCGAGTCTTTTTCTTGAACCCTTCTCGTCGAGTCCCGGCTCGAGTCCTCAGACTACGAAAATAGCTATCCCCATGCCGTCTAACTTAGGCCACTAGGCTACAGATTGTTGACTTCATGACAGTTGTATTGTGGTTTTTACGATTCGGCTCTTGTACCTGACTGAGTGCTAGTTTATAGACTCGGGACGGAATTGGAAACCTATGAAAGATGCAAATGCAGAAAGCGTACTTCGTGGGACGGTTCAACTTCTAAACCCTCAAACACCGGGACCCAACTAACATCTATTCTTTCTCCTGTATCATACTACATAGATGTGACTTGTGAGTTTGCAACTGTGTATTTATCAGATTCAACTTGGACTTCATCTTTTTCCTGTTCACCAGGCCTTCTTCCTTTCCTAAAACAAGGCATGTA